GGAAACTTAAAAAAAAAATCCTCAGTGAAAACTGCCAGTTTACTAATGCAAAGTGGCACTAAGCCCAAACATTTTCATTTACCAGTCATCAAGATCATTTTGATGACTTACATGTTATGACTCTGATGACTCAAGTTACATAGTCTACAGTATATATTTTTCCTGTGACTAAAACAGAACTAGCTATGTCAGACCACCACAGATACCTTCGCAAAGACCGAGTTGTTCTTACTGATACTGAAGAGCTCGCCAAGCCACTCTTCATCATTTATCAGCAGTCCTGGCTCTCTGGGGAGGTCCCAGATGATTGGAAGTTGACGAATGTCACGCCAATACACAAAAAGGGCTGGAAGGAGGACCCGGGAAACTCCAGGCCTGTCAGCCTGAGCTCAGTGCCTGGCAAGGTTACAGAACAGATCATCCTGTGTGCAGTCACACAGCAGCTAAAGGATGGACAAGGGATCAGAGCCAGCCAGCACAGGTTTAGGAGGGTCAGGTCCTGTCTGACCAACCTGATCTCCTTTTACGATCAGGTGACCCGCTTGGTGGATGAGGGAAAGGCTGTGGATGTGTCTCTCTGGACTTAGCAAAGCCTTGGACACTGTCTCCCACAGCATACTCCTGGAAAAGCTGGCAGCCCATGGCTTGGACAGGGGCACTCTGTGCTGGGTCAGGAACTGGCTGGAGGGCCCAGAGAGTGCTGGTGAATGGGGCTGCATCCAGCTGGGATCCAGTCACCAGTGGTGTTCCCCAGGGATCAGTGCTGGGACCAGTCCTGTTTAACATCTTTATCGATGATTTAGATGAGGGGATTGAGTCCATCATTAGCAAATCTGCAGATGACACCAAAATGGAGGGGAGTGTCTATGCTGGAAGGCAGGAGGTCTCTGCAGAGGGACCAAACCTGGATAGGCTGGAGAGATGGGCTGATTCCAATGGGATGAAGTTCAACAAGGCCAAGTGCCGGGTCCTGCACTTTGGCCACAACAACCCCCTGCAGCGCTACAGGCTGGGCACAGAGTGGCTGGAGAGCAGCCAGGCAGAAAGGGACCTGGGGGTGCTGATCGACAGGAGGCTGAACATGAGCCAGCAGTGTGCCCAGGTG